AATGGAACAGAGACCGGACAGTTTAAAGTCTGTCTGACAACAAGTGGGTAGATCCAAGTGGGCAGCCATGTAGGACTGAAGCAGTAGAACCAGAGGTCATTTCGGGGGGGAGCGCGGGGGATCGCAGTTCCCCTGGGTGAGGTACGGGGGGCGGGGCACATGACGAAGCCCCGCCCCCTGCTTCCGGCCTTTTTTTTCTGGCCTTGCAGGTCCACCGCTGGGCTCCTCATGGGCAGCCGGGGCCGTTGGGGGTGGGGTGTGTGGCCTTATGACACACTTCCGGTGATGTCAGGGGGTGTGGCATATGCTAATGAGTTATGCTAATGAGTTCCCCTAGCTCTTTTTCTGCAAAACGACCCCTGAGTAGAACACATTTTGAGTCCAGGGGCACCTTTAAGACCAACAAAAGTTTATTCAAGCTTTCGTGTCCACGCACGCTTACGCTTCCTTGGGTACATTGAAACGTAAGTTCACAAGTGGGATAGCTTCACACTTCAGCTGGAGCACTGTATCTAAGAGGACGTTCAGATGGGCAGCTAATCCCGTCATTATGCCAGCTTGAATTTTATCCCAATCTTTTAAATCCATGGTAGCATGACCACACATCCCCCTGGTGAATCGCCTTACCGCGCGCTGCCTCCGTTGTGGATTGTCTAGATGCCATCCACGGAAGGAGGCATGCACGGTGGTTTGTTTGTTTTTAAAAAAACACCTTTTTGCGCATGCGCGTGGGTGTCACAGTGCGTCTTTGTTGAAGGAGGCGCGCGGTGTGTTTTTTAAAAAACTTTTTGCGCATGCGCATAGACGTGACAGCACATCCTTGTTGATCCGCGCATGTGTAGAGATTTTTTAAAATGGCGCTCGCTCAGGATGGTCTGACATCAGACCACCCCAACGGGAGGATTGCACGCTGGTGGAACGATCAGACGGGTGAAACTCCGCTGTTGTCCCGCAGGTAACCGAAAACCCCAGATTTAAAGTGCTATCTTTTAAATACGGCACCGAAGCACGGCAAAATGGGATGCTCACGGAAGAGGGACATTTACCAAATGTTTGTGTCTGGACATTACACCTTTAGATCCGTGAGGCAATCGTGCCTTGCGCGGATCTAAAGAGCCGGCTGATCGGACTCTAACTCATTTATATATTGCCTTTTAACTGTAATGTTTTTGTGGAAAAATAACCACAGATAAAGAGAATTTACCCATCAGTATCTACAGAAACAATGCTAGGGCTAATCCTAGATGTCTGCAACCCTTCCAAGCGGGGGCAGAACAAAAATAATTCTTTTTTAAAAAGGCCACATGGGCTGCATCTCTACACCACTTCCAGAGAAATCCATAAGTGACACGGGGTAAGCTCTAGGAATCGTTGGAAACTCTACGGTTCATACCATAGAGTTTCTGGTGATTCCTAGAGCCATTCTGTATCCCAGAAGTGGTGTAGGGAGACAACGGATGTTGCAGCCACCACCGTGTCCCACTGCCAACCCCCTGCAGGTTGCCAGCTAAACCATAAACAAAAGGCCAGGTCTTTTTAATGGAAAATTTGCACACCACAATATACAGTGGTTTGGGGGGTTGGGGGGGGGGGGGACCAGGAAGTCCTCGTAATCCAAAATGCATGTAAGAGCAGAGAGACAGTGTGGGAGAGCTCAAGTGCTTTGGCAAGCTCGTTCTTGTAATGCACAAACCATGGTCTGAACCGAACCGGTTTCGTGGTATTACATTCCCTGCAGAGCAAAAGTCGGCACTTACCAGCACATCGCAAGTTCCCACCAGACGAATGCTTTCCGCGGCCAGTTCCACGTTTTGCCTTTTGTGAGGGCTTCTGATCAGCTTCCCTTGCACTTCTACAGAACTTCCGAACGACAGCTCCCTTCATTAAGGGAAGAAAGAAAATCGCCACACTTGTATAATGTGCTTCTCTAGGCAGATGAAGAAGAAGAAGAAGAAGAGATTGGATTTATACCCCGCCCTTCACTACCCAAGGGAGTCTCAGAGCGGCTTACAAACTCCTTTCCCTTCCCCTCCCCAAAACAGACACCCTGTGAGGTAAAAGAAGAAGAAGAAGAGATTGGATTTACAC